AATTCTGAAATGCGAGGATGCAACTAGATGTGAAATAAAGGAGGCGATTGAATACTTTCTTAATAACTTTTGTGAAAAGTATGAGGGAAAAAGGCATTCGTACTGTCTGTTACTATGATTCATGGTGAAACTATTGACGATTCTTATTGATACACTCTTGCATGGACCCTATCAATTTGAGGATATTCATAATCTGTAAAAACGTTAAATATGTGATATTCCCAATGCGATCAAAACGATGGAATATTCTTACTTTCCAAGAAGCTGGAGAAATTGAATTGTATACTCATTAAGGACATTAAGATATTTGAATTTCATTTACCACTATTTTGTATTTGCAATTGACAATATTGCTTTCTCTACAAAATAAATAAAATGATTGATGTGTTAAAATGAAATAACCGTTTTGTTTAATCATTGCAGTGAAATTATTTTGTACTATACGTGCAATTGAAAAGTTTTAATTGCAGAAAAGGAGTAATTTGTTGAAATGTACATCTAGCTCATTGTCATCGACTCAGCCAATATTCAAGCCAGTTAGAAGCCAAGTCAGAAATGTGTGGCCTCCATATTGGTTCTATCTGGGCCATGTCAGCTAAACCATACAGGCTCCCATATGGGCAAACCAATATGCCATCCATAAGAGCCAGAAAATATTGGCCTCACATATGGGACACCCCAAACATGTGCAGTTGCAATGGGTACCATGTTTGTCCCACATGGGGCTTTGGTGGAGAATACGAGGGGTCCCATATGGGCAAACCCATATTACATTCATATAGGCCAGAATCTAATGGGCCCCATATACCACCCATGTGCAATTGCATATGGGTACCATATGAGAATCCCATATGCCGCCTATGTACAAATGCATGAGGGTACCATGTTGGCCCAATGGGTTCTCTGAAAGATGTGGGCCCCACATGGGCTTGGGTGCAGAATCCGGAGGGTGCCTTGAGGGCTAGTCTATATGGTACCCATGGGTTGGGAAATATAGGTTCCATATGGGTCCCAAATGTGTTATATCTGGGCTATGGGCTAAACCACATGGGCCCCACATGGAGCTTGGGATACGCACAATAAACACTGGTGCTCCTCAGGGATGTGTGCTGTCCCCAGTTCTGTATGCAAGTAGTTGCAGAAGTTCTTCCCTAATGTACTGTAAGTATAATTAAATATGCTGAAGATACCGTTATATGTGGGTTATAAAAAAATAATGATACATCCAACTATGAATAAAATTAAAGAGTTTGCTACATGGTGCAGCGATCATTTCCTAATTTTAAATGTTAAGAAAACAAAAGAGATTATTTATGATTTTAGTCGCAAGCAATCTACACATGATCCGGTAATTATTAATGGTGAATGCGTGGAAAGAGTTCATGAATATTGCTATCTTGGAATTACAATTGACGATAAATTAAGCTGGCCAGTAAGGCAACTGTAAGTTTGTATTTTCTCCGAAAGTTAAGAAGCTTGTTTTTAAATAAATCAATTTTATTACTTTTTTATAGATCGGTTATACAGAGTATACTTAATTTTTGTTTAATATGCACTTTTGGAAATTTTAGTAAAGGAAATAAGAACAAGTTTGAGAGAGTAAGACGGTCAGCAGAGGTTAAACTGTATATTAAAATGAGCTGTAACCTTTTGGACCTTATTGAAATTCTATGATGATAAAATATGGCGAGGAACCTGAACCTAGGCATAGGGACTTAGAATCTGTGATTAATAAATTAAATAAATTTTCTAGAAAATAGTATTCCGGAAGTACGTTGTTGATGTATAACAAGTGTTGATATATTGTAGTAATATTTTTTTAAATATTATTTTTGTTTCCTTACAGCAGAGTAAAGATGGGGCTTCTTGTCCGATGAATGTACATTTTTTTTGAATTTCTACTATAAAATAATAAATACGGCCAGTGTACATCAATCTGTATCATAGAATTAAAGAAGAATGAATATGAAGAATGATAATGTGTGTATTATTAATTTATTTCTTTAATTGTGTTTCCTTCAATTCTCTTGGTATGTTTTATCATAACTCAGGAAGCTGCAAGAAAAATAAATAAATTTATTGTATAAAAAGATTAAGCAAGTAATTCAATTAAAATCAAAGATACATTTTATTGACCATAATTATTAAAATATAGTATATGAAAACGCAACAAAGAGAACAGCATGAAGCACATACTAAATTCTCTTGTTTCAATTATAAGGTCATGTTTCAATCATAAATATATCACTGTAAATGGAAGAAAGAGAATAAATTATGCTAGAAGGATAAAATGCTGTTAGTATAAAGATAGCAAAACGGAAATAAAAATAAAATTAAGCCTATGATAAACCGATTGACGAAATTATAGGCCTATAATACAGGGCCTGGGCATATTAAATTTTGCGTTTTCGCAACTCCTTCGGTGCTCATTTGTTCGAAATAAACCGCGACCGAAATTATACACCCGATTGACGAAATTATAGGCCTAGGCATAGCTAGTTTAGGCATAGAATTAGACCAGCCTACTATTCTAGCTATGCCCTCCGGCTTCGCCAGGTTTCAGCTAAGGCAGGGTAGCTAAGGCCTAGACTCTACTATTAAAATAGTTGATTCTCGCTTGATGTTGCCAAATCTAGCAAAGCTACTATCCTTTTTATTTGCTATAGTGTCTCGGGCTACAGAATGTTAAAATCACAGCTTGTCAACAACACCCGCGATTCCGCGAACGAACGAACGAAACTAACTTTTAAGTTAAAACTTCGATCGTTGCTAAACTGAATGACGTCACGTATGTATTGGCGTTTCTATTGGCTAATCATGACGTAATATCATTTACCCTACCTTTAGCAATCGGAAGTTCCGATACGGTACCGTATCTCTAGCCACGGCGTTATTAATTATAATACTTTACTGCACATGATTATGACTATGAGAAAAAAAGAATGATTTGGGGACTAGCTGCATGTGCCAGTGGATTGCGACATTAAAACGGACTCCGGTATCTACACAGCTCCGGAGAACTATGTGCAATGTGCAATAAACACTAGACATTTTATCACGCTCTTATTATTACAGTATTCTTAAACTTTGACGAAAAACAATAGGTTTATGAGATAAAAAGCACTTAATGAGATATAGATTATAGTGGATAGGCCTATTTAAAAACTTTTGGAAAATATGGAGAGACAGATTGTTGGAATTAATATAAAATTTCATTGTCGTTTGCCATAAACTCTGTCAGAGCAAAAACAAATAAAAAACAACAAAAAAAAAACAACAAAACAAAAAGAAAAAAAAAGTTTGATTGAACGTTTTAAACTTTATTTAATAATTTGTTTTATATAATATAACAAAAAAATGAAAAAAATTATTTAAAATATAAAGCTGGTAGGCGTATTGGTCACTTGGATATAGATTAAGCTAATAATCGTAACCATACGCGACACTTTTATGCGCGCGTGGGCGGTTAAAGAAAAAAATTCAACTGATAACTAAATTAGGCCAAATTACATGAAGAAAAAAGTCGAACACTGCGAACACAAGTCAAGCAAACAGAAGTACGACGTCATACCAGTGAATTGGACTATCACGCTTGAGAGATTTTTGACCCCATGAGAGGTAATCGTGGATTGGTTGGATTTTAAATTTTCTTATTTTCCGATAAAACTACCCAACCAATCATAAGTTTTATATCAGCTTCAAGCTTATTATATTCCCTCCACGAATCCACTTGGGCCAATTCGTTTCGAGTAAGAAAACAGCCAAAAACCTGAATTTTCTTGAAATTCCCTATTTAAATCGACGTGAGGAGCTGTTATAAATTGGCGTATTCCGACAAAACTGTAGGGATTTTTTTCATTTTTTCTTCACGAATTAGAAGATTAATAAAAACCGAAAGGTCCACTGATTAACCTCAGATAAGAAAGTATAATACATACTCCAAGTATTGAAATACACGCCATCGTGTTGGGATTCAATATTTCGACATTAATTATGTCATCATCAGGAATGATGATGAATTCCTGATGATGACATAATTAATGTCGAAATATTGAATCCCAACACGATGGCGTGTATTTCAATACTTGGAGTATGTATTATACTTTCTTAGAAGATTAATATTTTTTATAACATATTCTGCTTGGGCCATTACAAGAAAATCATAGATTTTGTACCAAAAATGTATTTTTGTGAAAAAATCCAGTTTTCTCCAATGGTTAAGGCGACCTTGGAGAGCAAATCATACAACGTTTCCATGGGGGAACGAAGGTCTCAGCACTAACAAATAATAATAATAATAATAAACAAATTATAATAGGCCTATATACTGACATTGTATTGCATCCGTTAACAATGCTTGTCACTCGTGCTGGGAGCAGTCACAAAAGTGGGTGGGGGGGGGACAAGCCCCCAGTAGAATAAGTAGGGTAGAAGGGTCAGTGGCCCCTTCCCATCCCCCTACTTCCGTCGCCATTGGTTAGCGCCGGCCGTCGGACTGATCTCGAGTTCCCCCCCCCCAACTTTACCTTTGCGTCCCAAATCAGCATCCCCATTTTTAGACACACCTAGATACGCCACTGATCAGTACTGCGACGGATCCAGGAATTTTAGAGGGCCCCAGAGAAGGACTTTAATTAACAGATGGAGGGTCTACCTCAGACACATTATGGTGGGGCTGAAGAAATATTATGATATGGCACCTCTGGACGACCGAAAATGGCACTCTTAGTCTTACATTGAGTAGAATTTTCTTTTTTTTTTTCTCAATTTTTGTTAAATTTTGAAAAATTTAGGGGGTGGGGACCGGGCTTCCAAATAAATCCGCCACTGGTTTAATATGTTAATTCAGTATTTATTTGACAATCGAATCTCTATCAGGTCTATTCGTACTTTCTAACTTGTATCACGATGTCCAGGGCCAGAGCCTTGATAAACATTCAGTAGAGCAATAGAAGTCGTAAAATATTCATGCGGACAAGATTAGAATCGATTAATTACCACGAAGCGAGCTTTCATCGTCGAAACGGTCAGCTTTATTTACAATTCAAAACAGATGAATGGTACTGGATGAATGTATACGTTTAATCATTTTTATTTATTTATTTTATCATTACCTCGACGCCACAGTGAATTGGTCATTCTTGCACATAAATTCGGTCACAGATGCTGAACGAAGTTTTTCCCTGCTACAAAGAAATGCTCACCGATGACAGGGCACTCCCTGCGTTCCATAGTTTCAGGTTAGACGATAGCCTGGGACTATACGCGCTATTTGGCGCACTATAAACAGAAGCTGCCGAGAACAAACTTCAGAGTAAGTGTAATTTGGTTTTAGAATTTTATGACATTGACAATATTGGTTATTGTTATGTATTATTTTTGTGCTGTCATTATTGCAATGACATACTAACAACAACAGAAACAGAAGTTGCAACAACACTGACTCAATTGCTTGTTTTTGTTTGGGCTAGGCCTAGGCTAGGCCTATGCTGTGCTTGTTGTGGCCTAATCGCCTAGCCCATAGGCCTAGGGCCAAGGCCTTAGTCAGTGACAAATAGTATGTCTGGTGACGGATGAATAAAAGTCAACCCGCACCCATGCCAACCCGTACCCACAACCCAGTACCCAAATTTTGGACGAACTGTACACAGAATTTTGGCGTAGGACTAGGGCCTAGGCCTACCCATACGCATCGCTTAAAGCCCCATTCCCGGCAAATTTTCACTAAAAACTGACTTTTTTTAGAAAATATGCATTTGCATTACTCCAATTATTATAAATCATGGAAAAATATTGGCATGAATTTTAGTTTTACGCAAAAGAATAAAAAAAATGAGAAATACAGACTATTTCTCATAAAATATTACCATTTTCTCAACGAATTCATTGTTACTAGGCAAATTCAGAGGTTGTAGATCGCATCCACTGGAATACTCTCGCTATTATGTATACTCTTTATACAGTCAATAAAGTGCGCCCTCTCTAGAGAGATTAGTTTTTGTACTTCACATCTCACACAATGCGGTCGTTCGGTTAGGCTGAGATATGTTTGTTTAAGTGTCAAAATCTCAGTCAGAATCAGTTTTTTAACAAATTTGAAATAATTCCTATGAAATATTATATTTCACAAGTGTCAATACTAGCAACGGAAAATATCATGTCGGCTAGCCTAGCAGCGTTGGATAGGCTAATGTTTTTGGTGCCTACGATATTTCTTCTCACGACCTATCGCAAAATCAAACATGAAAATTC